AATTCCTGGTGCCTTGTTCTTTGCCATTTCTTTCAATGCACTTTGGACTTCCTCTCTGAGTATCATTGGCTCTTGTTCATATGATATCTCTTGAAATATTGTAGATGGATGTTGTAGAGAACAGAAATGTGAACATAATTAGTTCTTTATTAATTGTTTGTGTAGTGTAGTTCAAGATGGGTTCATGAGCCTCCAGAAATTGGGGCATTATGCTAGGAACCTGACTTTAGGTAGCTCAAAGGCTGACCACAAAGGAGTACCACTAACCACTGAGACTGTTCATGATCCCGCCTACCCAGAGGGCATGGGAACAACAGAGAATTGCACCCCTTTGCAGCAAGCCTCCAGTCACATCTTGTGCCCATAGGGTACAGTGTCAACTCACAAAAGTACAAAATGGCCAGGCTGCATTACTCCAGCCCAGGTTGTTGTTGTTAAGTGTTGTCAAGTGGTTCTGACTCATAGCAACCCTGTGTAGGGTTTCCAAGAGATGGCTGGTGAACTTAAACAACCAACCTTGCAGTTCAAACCAACCTTGCATTCCAGTGCATTAACCCACAGCGCCACACTAGTACTCCTACCCCAGCCCAGAGTCCGCTCATTTTCCTTCGTTCTCACTGCTGCTGTTCAGCTTCCTCTTCCAGTTGGCACTCAACCCACCTCTCTGCCATATCCTCTGATGCTCAGAATTCCAGCATCACCACCTGTATCTATTTCACTTGGTCTGTCATGTCTTTGTTGTAAAGGGTCAGCTCAGCGATTCTGCTTACTTCACCATCTTGCTCTAGACCCCTATGTTAGCTTTTAGATGGCATAGTAGTTCACGATAAGTTATGTTGAGACAAAGGATAATTATAGAGTTAGAAATACAACAAAGAAGAGCGAAGTTCAGACAAAGTCATATGGCCCCGGACTCATAGTCCCCTTTACAGCATTTCACAGTCACCCAACCCGCATGACTCACAACATCACTCAAAGGCATAGTGTTTTCAACAACTAATGAGAGCAAATGCTTTTCTTTAAATATACTATCTTTTATTATTATTATTATTATTACTATTATTTAACTGTGTGGTACTGTAGGAGAATCATTTGACCATAAGGCCAGTTTGAACTTCAAGGTCAGTGGTTCAAACTCAACCAGCCAATCCTTGGAAATCATATTCAGGGCCACTATGGGTCAGAACCTACTCAGTGGCTCTTAACAACAACAACAGGTCCAAATGCCCCGCTCTTGGGTCCTCTTACTTGGTGGTAATAGGCCCCTGTTGTGCTCACTTGTCTCTCTTATCTCTTATAAGATAAGAGGTGTTACAGGCCACACCCC